GCCTATGCAGGGGGTCGGACTCGATGATCTATTGAGGTCCCTTCTGACCCTAACATCTATGAATCTATGAATCCCGACTTACGTGAATTTGACTAATACGAAATTCCCCCAGAATGCAACACTCGCATAAATTGAGGGTCTACTGTACTCCAGCACCAACATTCCCCTTTTAAACATTATGATCACTTTCCAGAATGGTAAAATACAAACTACCACATGCAAGAAACTCATGGACCAACATACATATCTGTACAGAACCAGCAATCACCCTAAACACACCAAGAAAGCTACAATATACAGCCAAGCCCTCCAAAACCACTGAATTTGCACTAAGAACACCTGTGATTGTCACCGCACAAATATCAAAAGGGCCTTCACTCAACAAGGACACTCCTCCGGAAAGATAGATCATACTTTTGAAAGAGCCACCCAGATATCACGTGAAAAATTGATGCAGTACAAAAAGAAAATCCCCATGAATTGCACACCATTAGTTATAACATATCACCCCTCCCTGGAACCTATACAGAAAATCCTGAAATAATTGCACCCATACTAGAAGAAGACCCAGTTCTTAAACAGATCTTCCCAGAATCACCCATCCTAGATTTTAAACAAGCACTGAACCTCGCCAACCTCATCACCAGAAGCAAACTTCCTATGGCCCAAGATGCACCAAATGGATTCAGACCATGTCATGACAAGAAATGTAAAACCTGCCAACATATCTCCATCACTCCCACAATAACTACACCCTACAACAACCATCACCGTTCCTGGATCTTACACTTGCACCTTCAGAAATGTAATACATCTCACCCAGTGCACTAAATACGTGGATGGAAAATATGTAGGAGAAATCAAACAACAACTACCAGAATGAATGCACATCAAAAATCTATCAAAGAGAAGAATACCTAATTACCTGTGGTGAAAGATTTCTCACAAGACAACCACCCTCTCTCTAATCTCTCAGTTCTAATCCTCAAAGGGATTTTACAAAACACCTTTCACAGATGAGCCTATGAACTTTACTTCATAAATCTACTGGATACAAAAAATCATGGACAAAATGTCCATGATTTATGGCACATTCTAACCTCCCTGCTATCTGATAGTCCAGATAACCTCTCTACTATTCACCAGCTACATGTTATCACCAGGTCTATATTCCCCTTCTTCCCCACTGGACCCCTACCTGTTTCTTGCCCATTGACTGCCTCAATTTGCATTTCAATTGACTGGGATTCTTGCATGCTGACCTCTGGCTTTGATTCTATTCTATTCCATCCAGGAAGAGCACAGTACAACTGCAGATGCTTTTTCAGCCTGAAGAAGGGTGTTTGTGCCCAAAAGCTTGCAAATTCCAACTAATGGTCTAATAAAAGATATCAGATTTACCAAAAGAACTTTGTCTGCCAGAAGAGAAGGGCATTTTAAAAATCTAGGTACATTTCATAACTTTATATAATGAAAAACTTACTTTCTTCTTTCTTGCTAATAATGGCAGGTAGTGTGTAAATCTGAAAAAGAAATTAGTGCAAAGGATTAACATTTATGATTTTAAGTGTTAGTTTCCTAGTACCAAATTGGTTGACAACTCTCAAGCCAGCACCTACAAATTTTGTATTAGCAGTCTACCTGAGGAGAGCCTTGCTCCTGGCATTTATTACTATGAACAAGCTTACCAGAGCATTAAACTTAAAATATTGGCTCTGGTGGGCAAGCTCCCTGGTGACAGTTTAGTTAAACTAGATGCCTGAGCACCTTAAAGATGTTTGGAGTTAGTATTATGGAAACTACTATTATAAATGGATCCTGTTTACATTCTGCACTGCTCCAGTCGAGGAGGAAGGCTGTGAGAATACTTTCAGTTTAGCTTGTAATTCTGATTGATCATTTACTTCACAATGGGTCTCTGCCAAGGAATCTTGGTATTCAATGAAAATTTCAAATGAGGGTCAATGGTAGAAAGAAATCTCTTATCAGCTTGTTTATTGGCATTTAAAGGCTGTTATTCCTGTTTCTTTCTCCTGAGGCACCTGCTACTGCTTCTCCATGGCATCACATTTCATAGATTTCATAGACATTAGGGCTGGAAGGGACCTTGGAAGATCATTGAGTCCAGCCCCCCTGCCCAAAGGGCAGGAAGTCAGCTGGGGTCGTAAGATCCCAGCAAGATAAGCATCCAAATTTCTCTCAAAGGCATTCAATGTGGATGCTTGAACCACCTCCAATGGCAGGTTATTCCAGACCTTTGGGCTCAGACAGTAAAGAAATTCTTTCTTATGTGCAGACTGAAATAGTCTTGCTGGAGTTTATAACCGTTCGACCTTATCATCCCTTGGTGCGCTCTGGTGAACAATCGTTCCCCCAGTTTCTGGTGAACGTCTGCATGGAGCCTGGAACCACGGCTCCGTCTGGGTGGAGGCCTCTGATGGCCTCTGACATCCAAGATGACTTTTTGTTATACTGCCAAGGAGAGCAAAATGATATCTCTGCCCATATATTCTGTATGCCAGTATACTATGCAGCTGGTTGGACTATGAAAACCTTAAGTAATGAAGCAAATGAAGCCGAGTGTGAATTCAGATTGGAGATATCCTTTTTTAGTTTCATTCTTTAATTATTACTTTACTATTTTATTTACCTTATCACCTATATAAGATAAATACTTTACTATATATTATATATGCACTGAATTGTACATGTGTCTTATAAGTTTGAAGTATTTTGAAATTCACATCAATTTGACTCATTTTTTATGAGAAATCGGACTGCATAACAACAACAAAATTTCCTTACTGGCTCCTTTCCATCCATAGCTTCTAACCAAAGTTTTCTATTGGATTCTGAAGAAGCCTGCAGTGTAATGATCCCAGGTCTATTAAAAGAAAACAAACATTATTTACAATTTATTTATCTTCCCCCAAATCTGCATTCTGGACATTAAAATAAAGAAAGCATGATTGCATGCATACAGTGGGCAACAGGGAAGAACTAAGAACATTGCTTTAGTCTCAGGTATAGACTACTTTGTGGCATTAGAGAAGTACAGTATTTACTTGCATATCACATGTACCTCTGCCCCCAAAATCAGCCCTCTAAAAGTGGTATTCATGTCTTAATCAAGGAAAGCTGATTTTTCTTGAGGGGAGGTGTAGGCAGAAGCAAACAGATGCTGTAACTCATAGCTGCTAAGAAGGCTGATGCTTCTCTGTAGCTGTGAAAGCAGAAGGGGCAGAATCCAGTTAACTCTCTCACAGCCTGAGCATACTGAGCCGGCTCTGAGCAAGTGAGCTGCTAGATGCAGTTTGTAATATCTTGATGAAGGTTGTGGTGTGGAAACAACAATTTATTACCTTTAGATGTAAACTCTTTGTATGATAATTTGTTAAAGTAAACCATAGTGAACATGAGAGAACTATAAAACATTACTATGGATTTAAGGACAAAACTCTTTATGCTACTTTACTACTATCGTAGTTTTGTTGGATATATTTAATTCCTTTGAATTTCAACAACACTGGTTTTATTTGCCAAAACAAAATTGTCACTTCACTGATTCTGAACAAAACCAGAAAAGAATATAATGCTTGTGTTCATATTGTTTTAAAATTACAATTCCTGGGAGATATTAAACTAATGGCATGATTGAGATCTAAGGAATTTTATACCACATGTAAAAAATTGCCCATCCTTCCATGCAATATCCCAAGGATCAGGCAGGTCATTGTCCTGGAACCTGGACATGTTAACCACGCCATATATGTAATATTTGCAAACCTCCAATAATTAGATTCTATACCTGGAAATTTATAATAAATTTATAAAAATTCCATATAAAGAATCCAATTATTAGAGGACCATCTTATATTCATGATCATCTTATATTCAAGAAAATACCGCAGGACTTTTAGAGAATGACCAAGCAAAAATTATATTAAGAGTGTGAATTTATTATCCCTGCTTAGTTCACCAAGACTTTAAGGAAGATATTTATTTAGTATTTCTCTCCTGTTATCAAGCTCTAATTTCTTAATGAATAAAGATTAAGTTCATGGAGTATTGTCCATATGTATTTTCTCACAAATATTCAAAACTGTTTCTATTCATTTTGGACAATTAAATGTGTACAGCAGTACTTGGCGAAACATTTATGCAATTATGTCAGCTTACGGGAAAAATAAGTTCTCTCTTTTACTTTATATATGGATAAAAACTTAGTATTGTAACAATTAATTTACAATTGCAAACTTTAAGTGAAGAAATTCTGTATCTGAGAGAGAGAAGTGGGAAAAACAAAAACATGTCTAAGAAAGAGATTTATGAGACAAATTTCTAAAACCAGCCTTTCTAATTGAAACCCAAAGTCTGCAAGAATCCATTTTTATGTACCTAGCTTGGTATATTGACCATGATAAGATCACATAGACAGTATTATCCATTCTTTGGTCAGAAAAAATAGATGTGGAGAAACTAGGTGCTTACTCTTGCAAACTTGTCCTCATTTGTACACAGATAAATGGAGAAATATTTTGTGGCTGTTATAATAAGAACCACATATTGTCCAGAAGTACTGCTATTTTATAGCATGGTAATTAAATTAATTTGATTAAAAATAATAATTTAAAAAACCATCATACCTTTCAAATACTTCAATATCAAAACAGAAACGTTTATCGATTGAATCTGTCTTTCTTCGGATACAGGATTTTAACTTGAGTATTTCTGGTGAGCTTGTAACAAGGCCATTCTATAAAAGAAGCATAAGAAACAGGGAAATTAATACATAGACACAATGTTGTGACAGCAAGGCTCTGATCTTTAAGTTTAACCACATGACATTAACTATATGAATATGCTTAAAGACTTAACATTATATAAACATCTTTACAATCATCCCAAAATGTTATTCATATTGTAGATTAATATAATTTAAATAGTTTCTTCTTCATATAATTGCGTACTTATTTCAGATAAAACATCTAAATATAAAATTACACTTTGGAAATACATGCACCTCTACAAGGAAACCTGTTGGTATGCAGTAGTCCAAAATCCATATATCTTGATCTGATTAAATTATAAACATTTTTTAAAAATACAAAGATGAGGACATTTAACTCCTGTTTCAGTGCTAAGTCCTGTAGTTTTCATGTCAGTTGATATACCATGGGAAACAGGACTACAATGGTAATAGTTTCTAAATATATTACATAAAAGGTAGGTAATTTTATTTCAAATATGTAATATGACCATTATTTTCATATGTAAAAACATTTGCCAATGTTAATCATTTTATTGCAAAAGCAACTCTTCATTTGTTCACCTGAATGCCTCTGATAGATTAAATACGATTTTCTTTATATGTCTTGCTGATGTCTTCATATAAAAAGTTCATATACAATTTAGGGTATAACTCAATGCAATACTCACAACTTTCCCACCAGACTTTGTTTCAGCTAGACTCATTGTAAAAGTTTTTGTCCCTTTATCATAAGTACAGTAATGTTTTATCCAAGTAAATCCAAGGGGTCCTAGATAGAAGAAAAATAATATTAAAAAAAAAGCCATTCAGAAATGTTATAATAATTTTATGTAGTGTTATAGCTATATACAGTAGAAGAGGTGCAAAGTAGAAGAGGTATAGTGCAGCACTTTGAGAAAATCCTCTGTTCTATTTCAGGATGTGACATACACTGATTTTATAACCTTGAACACATCTCTTAGGAACATGTCACATAAGACGGCAGGGCTGCAAAGGACCTCATGAAATCCGACTAGTTCAGCTCCCTACTCAAGGAAGGATCCCTGATTAATGGAAGGACAAGGAGGGGAAAAAAGGAGACATCTGTCTGAGCCAAGTGTCTTTCTAACTTGCTCTTGAAAATTTCAGAGGATGGAGATTCAACAACAACTTCAGAATGCCTGTTCCAATCCTTAATCACCACTGTAGTGACAAAGTTCTTTCTCATCTATTGCATTTCCTATTCTTCCATCTCATTGGGATAGCTTTTTCCCGACCCTTAAAAGGGCCTTTTTAAAACCATGACATCCCTCTGTTGCTCTCCTTTCCGACCTTTAACCAGAGAATTGCAGTTACCTACCTCCCATTTCATAATGTGCTTCAGAATAAACAGATATCTCCTTTTTTACCCTGTTTATCCCTCCTAAACAAGTTATACACATCTGTAGCACACCCTGACCCAGCTCCTCTTTGAGGCATGCTCCCAGTGTACTTTCGCATCTACAGGGATGTCCTTCAGCACCTGATCACTCATGGAAGTCTGCTGCTTGATCACTGAGAACAGACAAAATTGTGCCAAGGGGTCCCAAGGCGCCATTTCGATTTTTATTGTTTGCCAGATGTGAAATTCTGTTTAGGGAGCAACACCTAAAATCATTATCATGTTATGCAATCCTGGACCTGCTATGGCACATAAATATATATTTATACCCAATATAAGGCTAACTGCAGCTTAATGCCATCTATCAAAACCACACACACCATATCAATAAAATCAACTCAAGAAAATATACATGACATCCCAGAAACACCTCAAGATATGGTGAGTTTGTGACACCATCCAGAACAGTAGTCTAATCACATGAACTATCCCATCATGTCTCCATAATCCCAGTTATGTTAGGATCTCCAATTTTTCCTACTTAATTACCATGCAGTATCATTAGTGTCCACATGAATGAGCAGCATCAGATGAGTCAGTCTGGGTAACCTTTCTGGGATGTCTCGGATGCAGGCTCCTGGCAGGCAGCAGACCTCCCGAGCCAACAGGTCAGGGCAGCAGATGGATGCCTTCATGCCCTGCTGAAGGGAGTTGCCAACCACCACCAGCTGCTGCTTCCTCTTTGTGGTAGTAGTCTCAATCCTGCCACATCTTGGGATACATGGCTTGCCTTCTCTTAACTCATAACTCATAACTGAACCTACACCTACATCATAACTTATGAGTTAAGATAATCAGTTACTCTCCAAATACTGGCATGGTAAGTTTCTGTAACCACCTCTGCCTAGGTAGTAATGTTGCAGAACAGGAGCTTTCATTTTGCTTTTCTGGGGTACTTTCTGTTGAAAGAATGGCTGACGACCCACAGACTTGGACACACCAGTCATGAAATCATGAAGTCAAAACACATCCTCCTGCAGATTGCTTTTCAGCTCCCAACGGTGCCTGCCAAAGATAAGCAATATCTTTGGTGCTCTTACAGAAATTCTCTCTCAGACCCCTTTGGGAAAAAGAACTGGCTCAGGGATCACGTTTCTTCCCATAAAGTTGGTGGAAGAGATCTATGAAAAGAGCAAGAGTGCCAAAAGTGAGGAAAGCATGGAGAGAAGATTATGACTGTTAGAAGCAGAAACTCAGTGTAGACCTTCTTGTCTCCTGTCATTTGGAGTGGGACTGTACTAAGGAGATAAGTGGAAGCATGACTTTGTGGTGAGAGTATTATGAATAATATAGCTGTAAGAAAAGGTCCCATGACTAACTCTGACCCTTGGTAATGGTTTTAAATTGAGGATGTTTTTGCAAATAAAGACTAGAAATACATTTTCTGGTAGAAAAGCACAGATTAGTATTGGCAAGAAAAGGAACAAAAGGTCAAACTACCCACAAACTGATTGCTGCACACATTCCAGCAGAACCACTAAAAACAGTCCTAGGGACTCAAAGGGATACTGTCTGGTATAACTGCATAAGGTTTTTCAATATTCCCTAATTGGTGGCTTATATTTTATAACTCATCCTGAAGAAGCCATAGCTTAATCCTATCTGGAAGCCCTTTTTTTATTACTGACCTATAGCTTGTCTTCATTGCAGAACTACCTTAGGTTCTTGCCCAAGAATTATCCTGAATCCCACTTCTGCCTGCCCACAAAACCCTTTCACTCAAGTTTTCTTAGAGTTCAGATTCATCTTTCATGATGTCTGGTAGCCAGCCCTTCATCTGCAATGAGGATTCAAACCTACAACACTTAAATACAGACAGCCCTCCACTGCTTCTCACAATTATTGTTATATGCCTAAAAAAGAACCAGAGACCAGTTCACCTTACTGAAGCACAAAAATGCATGGCATATGCCTCCACAAGTCTGGGAAACACATCCAGTAGGAGTTCAGCACTACTGAGAACAGAATAATTCAGGTTTGCTTGTTCAGTGTAGCTACTCTCCTGCTCCAGACTAGGCTACTCTGCATGCTCAGATGCAGATTCTGATCAAAGGAGGCACCTTTGCTATGAAAAAGCAAGCTCAAAAAGAAAATAAATGTTTCCCATAGAACCAAAATGTGCTTCAGACACTTCCCATTCAACTACTGAGCTTTATGGGGACTGTGCTTGTAACATTTACGTGACTGCAACCTAAGTCACTATAGCAACAAGCCAGCACCAAAATACTTGAATGCACTTGATTACTAAATACATTTAAAAGAAGAAAGGGTTGAGATGGTATCCTCAAGCCACAGGTACAATTCCCGATAATTTCAATGGAAAGTGCGGGGGCATATCAAGGGCAAAATTTGGCAGTTACAGCATGTGACTGGACATGCAGTTTTGTTTTTTAATGAAACGTTGCTACGGTAACATTTTTTATTAAAATGTAAACCAGTTAAGCTTTAAAAGTACAGATGTTAAAAATATCATCATAAGTCTGTGTCAATTACTACAGATTTGCCTTGTAAAGGTGCTCATACACAAAGCCAATGACATTGTCAAAGAATTCATTAGTCTCGTAAATCATTTGGATGACAAACCACGATTCTAAACATGCAAACATACATGCCTGTCATGCAAATATGCTCAGAAAAGCATCTCTCCTCACCTATATTTCACAAGACAAAAACAAAATAGCCCCAATACTTGATTATTTTATTTCTGAACTATTATTTTTGTATATAAATGGATGATTCTTCTAATATACTTTTAACCATGGCAGTATTTTACCCACTTTTGCATTATAAGGACAAACATTTTCAAATAAATGTTAGACTTTTTTCTGTACATGTTGCTATTTTATACACATCAATATTTTGTACAGAGAGGTACCCAAGTGTTCCACTATCTCATCCTCATGCTGCTGTTTCTATATGTTTGTTATAGCATTTTGTAAGTTTACTTTTTGGAAAAAAACAGCCTTATTTGATAGTGAATTTATATCATCCTTTGCAATAATAAATGTTGTGTCTTGTGCACTACTAATAATAGATATGCAGAGTTTTGTCCTTGAAGGCAGTACATATTAACCATACTTTTTTTTGACAGCATCCTTAATAACTGGTTGTGGAAGGCTAACACTGGTATAAGGAAATCTCTATAAGGCAGAGATGACAGACTGTTATTTTTTCCCAAAGTAAACTAATGACCAAATCTCCTTTCAGTGAGAGGATGTCAAGTTGGCCTCTCACTATTTAATGAAGCACTGCATGTGCCCAGCATTTCTCTCCTTTCTTGCTCTCCCAATAATAGTGCCTTGTGTAATTCCCACTTAACAAAGACTTGTATTATTATTCAATTAGCATATACAGGATCTGCTCAAAACTCTTTAGTGTAGCTTCTGCTAAAAGTGAACCAGGTTAACTAACATCAGCACTTTATCTCCCTTCATTTGGCTCATATATATAATAGGAGCTCAGGCTTGTGAGGTGAGCTTTTAGTGAACCAATTAGTCTGGGGAAATCAATTATCTATAACACCATACAGACCCTCATAACTGAACCTACACTGACCATTGAGACCAGTTCCAGATACCCTGCCTTTTAATATTAGGCCCAGAAAGCTCCTACTTTTACAGGCGAGTAAAAAAATGGATTTGTAGGATAAGCAATACTAAAGATTGTATTTCATTTAAACAGTAATAAAACTTGCACATCACACAGAATATCTAAACCACGTTTATTGTCATTTGCCAGCACCAGCTCGACCCACATCATATACAGTTGAGATAGCACATAGGATGGGAATGGCTTTACTGAGGGTGTAGAGTGATCTTTGTACAGCTAACTCAGGCAGATTGTCTACGTTTTATTTGATCTTAACAGTGGTATTTGGTCATCACACACAGCTATTCCTCCCCTTGTCCTCAGTTTTTGGTAGCCAGGACTGCATTTTCTCAGATGAGAGTCAAACTGCTCTGACTATTCAATGTTTATGGTTTCTGATTCCATTTTCCCTTCCCTTTGTCATTTATTGGTAAGCTCCTGGCAGTGTATTTTTGCTAAGTCTGTACATTTTAATTCTGTTTCTTTTAACTTGTTCGAATAGTGCTTCATTCTTATTCCTATCATTTAAACGCAAATGAACAGGCCTACACACCTCAAACTAATAATCCAGTTTCCTTTTGCCTTTGTAATTCATATGGTTTCTCTCACATATTAAGTTCCTTTTTTTTTGCTTCGAAGGGTCTACATTGTGAGTTTAACTTAAACTTGCTCATGGAATAGTCCCTGGGGGCCTGTCTACATTGCTTCACGTACAACCCAAGAGTGCTTCTGAGCAGTGTGTCTCACCCACTGGCTTCTGCTCTGCGCATGCTCTTATCCTAAAACACAGCCACATGAGAGCAGTCATGAGAACACAGCTATTAGAATGCCCATGGCAGAGAGCCTTAGGATGCCCTGAGCTATTGTTGCAATGCCTACTTTTTGGGATATGGTAAATATAGAGTAGCAGTAAGTAAGCAATAGGGCTCTCAGGGCCAGCACAGTCAGTGCAGACATGCTCTTCCTTGCCCACTTGCCTGATCCCCCAATGACCTCTTCAAACACATCATCTCCACAAGGTTTTGCTAGACACAGACAGAGACAGTGACAATAGGTTCCCTGAGGTAAGGGAGGGAGCCAAGAAGCTAGCTTATTAGTTTTAATAAAACAGGCTTCTCTACTTTTTCCTCCAGCCTATGTTTAGGTGGCATCAGACACCTCTTGCGAAAGTTCTCAGTATTCCTGTGGGTCAGACTTTTCCAAAGTTTAAGCAAACAAAATAGATAGAAAACCCACAATTTGCCCTGTCCAGATCTTATGTTTTTTCTCAGCACACTTTAAAAGTGGCAAATAGTAAAGCAGTTTTCAAAGCTGGGTATATATGTACATATGCTATTACTCACGCTTCTCCTGGACATAGAGATAGCCTTCCATGGTCCACTGACTTGGTGGTCGGTAATCCTGGCTGGCAGATTTCATTCTCTGCATCAGTCGCTCCACTTCTTGCCTAGTACTTTCAAAATTATTCCGTGTCTAAGAAAAATAAAAGGAGTGAAAACACCCTAGTAACTCACTAGTTCATTCAGTATTTAAGGTAATAATTATAGAAAGAGATCAAATATTGTTGCTACTACTACTATTACTACTATACTACTACTACTATTGTTCCTACTATTGGGCCACATTTAGAGAAACTGGGACAATTCTCTGAAGGAAAATAAATTTGGTTTTGCCCTAGCTATGCCGATAACTGGGATGTAAAAGATGACCTTCACTCTGTATTCTCTACAGCATGTCAGTGAGCCACCAAGACAATAACGTACTTCCACAAGTGTCAAGGAAATTCAGTTAACAGGGGAATTAAAAAAATATTTCTTAGCACACTCGCTCTCATGTTAATGCCAATCCCAGAAACCCATCTATGCATGCTAACATCATTCTGAGAATCTTGGAACAAGACCATATTAATTGTGTATCAAGGTACAACTTATTTATGTAAGGAAACATAAGTCATGTTTAGAGTGGCAGAATGTGTCAAGTATGTAAAAAGGCTCTATCTGACAGAACATGAGTTTTTGCATGCAGCCAAATATATGTAGAGGCAAACAGATAATAAAGCAAAGAACTGCACCATTCAGATATGCAAATGCCATTTTTGCATTAACTGAAATCAATGGAACAGAATCAACCCCTGCCTCCCACCACATACCTAGAGCAGATTGTACAAGGGAACTGCTTAGGGATTATGAAGTATGCTAGATTGTTGTGGATAAGCCTAAATCCTGCCAGAGCTGAATTCACTTCAGTAAACTGCAATGAAAGTACACTCGGTATCTTACAAGATTTAGCCTAGTTGGTCAGAAAGACACAGTGGTATGGACATTTGGTTTCCCAGAGACAACTAGCAGCGGTGAACCTTGCGCCTCTGCTACTTGTCCCTGGGGAACATCCGTGCCACATGTGCTCTGGTGAGTGGCAGGTTACCCCAGGTCGGGTAGGGGAGGCTGGGGCTAGCACTGGGCTGACCCTAGTAGCCTTACCTGGGGCCCTGGGGGCCTCCCAGGGCTGCAGCAGTGCCAATTCTGCCACACAGAGCCTGGCAGGCAGCTGCAGCATGGCTCTGGGCAGCCTGGCTCAGCTTTTCAGCGGTGCATGCTGCCCATTCATACACTGCTCTGCATTTTTTTCCCCCGCAGGTTTTTTTGACCCCTGAATATTTAGGGGTCAAAAAAACCCTCTATGCTGCTCCATTGCAGCACAGAGAACATCTGAATGTATGCAATGCACATATACTGCACAGATGTGCTCATCTGGACGTGGCCAGTCAGGTCTTTATGGATTTGTGAAAATTGCACATTTTTTCATAACTAATTTTCAAGTTTATTCAAAATTATTATAATCCTTAGCTGTTATACACTAGTTGACATGAAGCAATGTACAGGGTTTATTTATTCCTCATAACATCCCTGCTAAATCGGAGAATAGCCAATGTCTATACAGTGCTGGGAAGACGTATGGTATTATATGTGCTTATTAAAACTCAGGCAATGTAGGCTACAAACAAAAAAAGATTTAATAGACAACAAATAATCGAGTTGCGGCATACTCATGACTTTAGACAGCAGCATAATCACATACGGTTTGAAGTAGAGTGTAGTTAGCCAGTTACGGAGAGGTCTGAATAGTCATGGCTCCTCCCAGATTCTCTCCTAGGGAGACCATGTACCTACTCTAAATACCACTGAAGTCATTATGAAGCTTTCTGCCTGACTCAGATTTGACCCCTTTTCCTGCTTCTGTAGAGACTAGTCCAGTAGCTATTTAGAGAGCATTCAAAGCTTATTTAAATAAGAGAAAGAGATTAATTTGTGAAACATAGAGGAAATAACTCAGTAAATTCTCGTGGCACACACACATAGAAGGTGGTATTAGCATGCTGTCATGTATGTTTCTCCAGCCATGGAGGCTTTTGGAGAATTCGAATAGAATGAAGTACTCTGGACTGGAGGATGGATGTTTGCTCTCCTTGTAGTGAAGCAAGAGTGACCTCTTGTGCCTTCAACTAACAAATCCTTCATAAATACCCAGTTTTGAAGGAAAAGAGGTTCTGCAAGGCTGTAGATGGAGAGGGAATATCTGCAAACAGACTTGTGTGGGTGTAAAATGGTGGGAGTGTTAGTCATTTCAGAAACACCACTTCTACTTCCTCAGGCAGAGCTAGCTCTGGGCTCCAGCTCCAAATGGGGATACCAAGTATAAAAGAGGGTAGAAAGGAAGAGAATAAGTGAGAGACAGATTATCCCTTGCATCAAACCTAAGAATATAGTTCTGCATTAGTATAGCCCAATACCAAGACAGGCCCATTCTGGGAAACCCCTAAACATCTGCCACTTTGTAAAATATTCCAGAGACAGTAACCAGTAGTAGCAGAAGTCCTGTCAGCACATTTTCTTTGGAGCCATGCCAATAACAGTTCATTTGGAGGCAGCTATAATGCTTGCAACTTCAGCATGTATCCTGAAGTTGGTAGGTTTGGCAGCTCAAACCCACAAAGTCAAGTCTTCAGCTGGTATAAGCTATCATAACTCCATTGAATTCAATGAAGCTACAATTTATATCTGGTGATGATCTACCACACTATCTTTCCTGGTAGGGGAACTAACCCCTATAAGAGTATGTATAGAACAGTGATGCATAAGAGAACAGTAAAATAGAATCTACTGAGGAAAATGTTAAAGTTCCATGTAGAATTTTATTTATCCTCCTTGTGGGTTTTTATGGATGGGAATCGTACTTTGGCTCAACATTAAAACACATTGGTTAAAATTTTTACATTAACTTTTTGAAAGGATTCCATTTATTTGAATTCTACCTTTCTTCTTGTAGAGTGATGAAAGCAATCCTGGATTCATTTATTATTAGTCAGGCATAAAAGATATTTCTTGTGTACCCAAATATATGGTATTCAGACATGTAGTATCTGAGCACAATAAGTATTTTAAAATTAAAAATAATATTAAGTAATTCTTTAAATCGTTCTTCCTTTTCAACTTCTAATAGAGCGGGGGTGGGGGGGTGTTACAGGGCTGTGTATCTGTGTAGGGCTTACTAAAGGGAAGTTAAGCTTACTAAATGATTTTTCATTTATTTTTAAGGTGTTGAGATCTAACGTTACCACTTAATCTTTTAGGGGTTCAAATCACCTGGTCTGGGTCCAGCTACTGTTCTAAAGTTCAAGCTCGGGGTATCGAACATATGGCCCATAGACGTGTTCCATCCAGGCCACCAGGCTACTGGAGGGACAGGAAATTTCAGGACTTGGCGAGTGAAGGGTGGGGCCTGCTGGGACCACACTGGACATGACCATTCATGGCAAGTGGATGAAAGCTATGCTGACACAGTCCTGCT